ACCGGGGGTCACCAGGGGTCACCAAGGGTCACCGGGGGTCACCGGGGGTCACCAGGGGTCACCAGGGGTCACCGGGGGTCACCAGGGGTCACTGAGTGTCACTGGGGGTCACCGGGGTAACCGGGGGTTACCAGGGGTCACCGGGGGTCACTGAGTGTCACCGGGGGTCACCAAGTGTCACTGGGGTCACCAAATGTCCCCGGGGTCCCCAGGGGTCAACAAGAGTCCCCAAATGTCCCCAAAGAGTCCCCAAAGAGTCCCCAGGTGTCCCCAAGGGTCCCCAAATGGCCCTAAGGGACCACAAAGAGTCCCCAGGTGTCCCCAAGGGTCCCCAGGATGGAATTTGGGGTCCCAGATTTGTCCTTCCCCCAAACAAAGAGTCCCCAGGTGTCCCCAAGGGTCCCCAGGATGGAATTTGGGGTCCCAGATTTGTCCTTCCCCCAATCCCTGGATGTCCCCAAATGTCCCCAAATGTCCCCAAATGTCCCGTGGGGAATTCGGGGTCCCAGATTTGTCCTTCCCCCAATCCCTGGATGTCCCCAAATGTCCCCAAATGTCCCCAAATGTCCCCTGGGGAATTCGGGGTCCCAGCCCTGACCCCCCCTCCCCTTTTTCCCCTCCCCAGGTCGCCAACAGAAGAAATCCTAAAAATCCCCCCGAGCTCGGAAACCTCCGGAATGAAGTGGAAAAATGCCGGGAAAAGGCGCGGATTTGGGAATTCCCGGGGAGAATTCCCGCTGGGAATGTGGGAAAAGGAGGGGGACGGGGCCGGGAGGGGTCCCCAGAACCCCCAGATCCCTTCCCGGGGAATTCACGGCTCTCCGGGGAAAAAATGCAAAGGAAAAAGTTTCGTTCTCCCCTCCCAGGAAAATAAAAATTCAAAATAAAAAATTCTCCTCCCTCCAAAAATCCCAAAGAAATCCCAAAAATATCCCGAAAAAAATCTCCCAAAATTCCCCCCAAAAAATCCCAAAATTCCAAAAAAATCTCCCAAAATCCCCCCCCAAAAATCCCCAAAAATCTCCCAAAATTCCCCCCAAAAATCCCAAAAAATATCCCAAAATTCCCCCCCAAAAATCTCCCAAAATTACCCCCAAAAAATCCCAAAAAATATCCCAAAATTCCCCCCCAAAATCTTCAAAATCCCCCAAATCTCCCAAAATTCCCCCCCAAAAATCCCAAAAATCTCCCAAAATTCCCCCCAAAAAATCTCCAAAATTCCAAAAAAAATCTCCCAAAATTCCCCCCAAAAAATCCCAAAAATCTCCCAAAACTTTGCCCAAAAATTCCCTAAAAAATGTCCCAGAAAACCCCCAAGAAATTCCCTTAAAAATCTCCCCAAAATTTCCCCCAAAATTCCCCCCAAAAAATCCCAAAAATCTCCCAAAACTTTGCCCAAAAATTCCCTAAAAAATGTCCCAGAAAACCCCCAAGAAATTCCCTTAAAAATCTCCCCAAAATTTCCCCCAAAATTCCCCCCAAAAAATCCCAAAAATCTCCCAAAACTTTGCCCAAAAATTCCCTAAAAAATGTCCCAGAAAACCCCCAAGAAATTCCCTTAAAAATCTCCCCAAAATTTCCCCCAAAATTCCCCCCAAAAAATCCCAAAAATCTCCCAAAACTTTGCCCAAAAATTCCCTAAAAAATGTCCCAGAAAACCCCCAAGAAATTCCCTTAAAAATCTCCCCAAAATTTCCCCCAAAATTCCCCCCAAAAAATCCCAAAAATCTCCCAAAACTTTGCCCAAAAATTCCCTAAAAAATGTCCCAGAAAACCCCCAAGAAATTCCCTTAAAAATCTCCCCAAAATTTCCCCCAAAATTCCCCCCAAAAAATCCCAAAAATCTCCCAAAACTTTGCCCAAAAATTCCCTAAAAAATGTCCCAGAAAACCCCCAAGAAATTCCCTTAAAAATCTCCCCAAAATTTCCCCCAAAATTCCCCCCAAAAAATCCCAAAAATCTCCCAAAACTTTGCCCAAAAATTCCCTAAAAAATGTCCCAGAAAACCCCCAAGAAATTCCCTTAAAAATCTCCCCAAAATTTCCCCCAAAATTCCCCCCAAAAAATCCCAAAAATTCTCTCAAAAAATCCCCAAAAAATCCCGAAAAATCTCCCAAAATCCTCACAAAAAATTCCAAAAAAATTCCAAAAAAATTCCAAAAAAATCCTGTTTAATTCCCGGGGGGTCTGGGGACATTTGGGGACATTTGGGGACACCTGGGGACACCTGGGGACACCTGGGGCCGTCAGGCCGGGGGCAGCGGCGGCGGCTCCTCCTCGTCGGAGTCGAACTCGGCGTTGTCGTCCTTGATCCAATTCCCGGCGGGATCCTGGAGCCAGCCCCGGCTGCAAGGGGGGAAAATCGGGATTGGGAATTCCTTGGGATGTTTTAGGAATTTTGGGGGATTTTTTAAGGAATTTTGGGGGTTTTAAACGGAATTTTAGAGGATTTTTTTTTTTTAAGGTTTTTTTAAGGAATTTTTTAGGATTTTTGGGGATATTTTAGAGATTTTGGGGGATTTTTTTTAGGAATTTTGGGGAGTTTTCAGGGAGCTTTTGGGAATTTTTTTTGGGATTTTTAAAGGAATTTTTGGGAATTTTTTTTGGATTTTTAAAGGAATTTTTGAGGAATTTTTTGTGTGAATTTTTTTGGTTTTGTGGGGGATTTTTGAGGATTTTTTTGGGGATATTTTGGGGAATTTTTAAAGGAATTTTTTGGGATATTTTGGTGATTTTTCCCAGAATTTTTTGGGATATTTTGGTGATTTTTCCCGGAATTTTTTGGGGATATTTTGGTGATTTTTCCCAGAATTTTTTGGGATATTTTGGGGAATTTTGGAGGAATTTTTTGGGATATTTTGGTGATTTTTCCCAGAATTTTTTGGGATATTTTGGTGATTTTTCCCAGAATTTTTTGGGGATATTTTGGGGAATTTTGGAGGAATTTTTTGGGGATATTTTGGTGATTTTTCCCAGAATTTTTTGGGATATTTTGGTGATTTTTCCCAGAATTTTTTGGGGATATTTTGGTGATTTTTCCCAGAATTTTTTGGGATATTTTGGGGAATTTTGGAGGAATTTTTTGGGATATTTTGGTGATTTTTCCCAGAATTTTTTGGGATATTTTGGTGATTTTTCCCGGAATTTTTTGGGGATATTTTGGTGATTTTTCCCAGAATTTTTTGGGATATTTTGGGGAATTTTGGAGGAATTTTTTGGGATATTTTGGTGATTTTTCCCAGAATTTTTTGGGATATTTTGGTGATTTTTCCCGGAATTTTTTGGGGATATTTTGGTGATTTTTCCCGGAATTTTTTGGGATATTTTGGGGAATTTTTCCCGGAATTCCCGAGCCCGGCTCACCTGCGCAGGTGCAGGTGGTGCCTCAGGATCCGCAGCCGCTCCGGACTCTCGGAAATCCGGGAATTCCCCTTCGGCCCCTCGGAAATCCGGGAATTCCCTTTCCTTCCCGCTTTCCTCCCCTTGGCAACACCTGGGGGAGCGAGGAAGGAGCCGCTGGGAATTCCGGGAATGGGGAATTCCCGGGAAAACCCCCGGAATTCGGGGGGTTTCTCACCCTCTGCGTGGGGATTTTCGGGATTCCCGGGATTCCGGAGCGGCTCCGGCGGCGTCTGGGAATTTTTTGGGATCATCCCAACCCGGCAGCTGCTGCTCTTTGTCCTGGGAGGGGGGAAAGGAGAGGAGGTGAATCCCAAAAAATTCCCTTTCCTGGGAATTTTGGGGTTTTACCAGTTCTGATCCCGCCAATCGCCATCCCAGGAATTCCAGAAGCTTCTCCCCGTCCTTCCCTGGAAATCCCAGAACTTTTCCCGCTGTCCCTGCGGCCCTTTCCCAGCTTTTCCCGATTTTTCCCATTTTTTTCCCCATTTCTCCCCACGTTTTCCCAGATTTTATTTCCCCCCATTTTTCCCCGTGTTTTTCCCGGTGTTTTTCCCAGTGTTTTCCCGGTGCTTTTCCCGGTATTATTCCCGGTGTTGTTATTCCCGGTGTTGTTTTTCCCGGTGTTATTCTCGGTGTTTTTCCCGGTGTCATTCCCAGTGTTATTCCCGGTTTTCCCCGGTGTTTTCCCGGTGTTATTCTCGGTGTTTTTCCCATTTTTTTCCCTGTGTTATTCCCGGTGTTTTTCCCGGTGTTATTCCCGGTGCTTTTCCCAGTTTCCCTGGTGTTTTTCCTGGTGTTATTTCCGCTGTTATTTATTCCCGCTGTTACTTATTCCCGCTGTTGTTCCCAGTGTTATTCCCGCTGTTGTTATTCCCGCTGTTGTTATTCCCGCTGTTGTTATTCCCACTGTTGTTATTCCCATTGTTGTTATTCCCAGTGTTATTCCAGGTGTTTTTCCCACTGTTATTCCCGCTGTTGTTATTCCCGCTGTTTCTCACGGCTGTTTCCGGCAGCGGCTGTTGTAGGGGGCGGAGCTCAGGAGCGCGCTCCGGGCGATCCGGCGCGTCCGGGCCAGCAGGGGGGCCTGCAACAGCCAATGGCAGCGCGACACGCCCACCGGGACACGCCCATAGCAGGACACACCCACCAGGACATGCCCACCAGGGACACGCCCATAGCAGGACACGCCCATAGCAGGACACGCCCACCAGGACACGCCCATAGCAGGACACGCCCATCGGGACACGCCCACCGGGACACACCCATAGCAGGACACGCCCACCGGGACACGCCCATGGCAGGACACGCCCACCGGGACACACCCACCAGGGACACGCCCATAACAGGACACGCCCACCAGGACACGCCCATAGCAGGACACGCCCACCAGGACACGCCCATAACAGGACACGCCCACCGGGAAATGCCCATAGCAGGAACACGCCCACCAGGACACGCCCATAGCAGGACACGCCCACCGGGAAACGCCCATAGCAGGCCACACCCATCAGGGACACACCCACCGGGCCACACCCACCAGGGACACGCCCATAACAGGACACGCCCACCGGGAAACGCCCATAGCAGGACACGCCCACCATAACAAACCCACCAGGGCCACGCCCACCGGGCCACACCCACCTGCAGAGCCGGGGCCACACCCGGGGCCTCCTGCGGGGTCACCTGAGGGCCCTGAGGGGACACCTGGGGACAGCGGGGACGGGAATAGCAACGGTGCAGACCTGGAGAGGGGACACGGGTGACACACGGGGACAGGTGACACACGGGACAGGTGACACACGGGAACAGGTGACACATGGGACACACCGACAGGTGACACACGGGGACAGGTGA